CTTTCTGCATGTGAAAGACGCACTTTTGCCAGTTTTCTGGGGTAACGTTATTTATGGCTTCGTGGAAGAGCACTTTTACATAACTTAAAGGTAGTATTTCTACTTGCAACCTCCTTTTTTATTTGTGCCTAGATTAGCTTAATAGGATTAATCTCGCAATGATGTGATGGTTATCGGTGAATAAAACCCCCATGGTTACGAGCCATTTTATCAAAAACGTATTTTAGAAATTTTTGTTTATGTTGTCCTGCAATATTTAGTAACTCCGACTTAACCATAGACTTGTAATACCCAATTTCTGTCCTATCTAGCCATTCACTTATTTCTCCTTTTCGCCAACTTGTTGTTGGAAGCTTTTCTATTTGACGACTTTGATAGGAAGCATTATCTAAAATGATTATTGAGCCAGATTCAATTTTTGTCAATATGAACAAAAACCAAGTTTCAAATTTCTCAGCATCCATGTACTCGTGATAATCTTCTAATATTTTAGATTCAAACACTGAGAGTTCTCTAGGAAAAAACCATGTTCACTACCAATATATGATATTATTAGACGTCGACCCATACTTGATTGTGTTTTTGGACCCGTAGAGAGACCTTTAAGGAACACTTGTCGACTGTTTTGAATATTTAAATCGGGCCAAACGTTGTTTACAGTATGACCTTCGTTTAACCAATTCTCATCTAAATAATAGATTTTTTTTCACTATCATATTGACGAACATTTTTAAGATAATTACGACGCCATATAACAATCTCACTTTTTCTAATAAACTGATTTGTCGACATCGTTTCATATATTTAAAATTCATTAAATGAAGTATAGGCAGTAGTATCTCTCGTGAGGTACAAAGCTGTCAAATTGCAGTAGAATTTTCGTTTCTGATGACTGGACTAAATGTTGACTTACCTACTGCAAACATCTTGTTTTCATGTTCGTTCTGAACACAGTATCCACAATACACTGCAGATTCTGAGCAGTCCACACGGTTTTCCAACATTTTATTGGTAAGATAAAACACCACATAAGCAATGTAGTTTGAAACATAAGCCACACACACCCAAATGTAAGACCAAACCCTTTAATACTGTTATGAACTTGGGGTAAAAGCAAAAGGTGTCAAAATTATATTAAATGTTGGTAATTGTCTTTCTCAGGTACTATGATCAATAATATTGTAAAATACACAAATCAAAAACTGGATATGATGAGAGTGTTTTATACTCGCCCTAGGGATTGTCCTGCAACATTTAAATACTGATGAACTATGCACAAGGAAAGATTTCACCAAATAATTCAAGCTGTCAGATGTGACGACGCCACTTAGAGGCAAGAAAATTCAGCAATTTATAATATTACACCAATTCCAGAAATGTTTGAAATCTTTGTCACTAACTGTTTATCAGCATACAGTCCTGAATTGTATGTGACCATAAATGAAATGTTGGAAGCGTTCCGTGGTCCATGCAAATTTAGGCAGTATATAGCCAATAAACCAGCGAAATACAGAATCAACATTTATACCTTGGCGGATGCTAGAATATTTTTCATACAAAATGTCGAAATTTACGCCGGCAATCAGCCTGAAGGACCATATCAACTACCCAACGTTGCGGCTAGTGTAGTAAAAGGACTTAATACGACCCATAAGTGGAACTGAGCAAAATGTAACAATGAATAATTCCTTTGTTCTGTACCCTTAGCCAACTCTTTAGTGAACGATCATTGGTTGACAACGATAGGTATTTTGCGTAAAAACTGACCACAAATTACCTCTGGGTTGACAAATGTAAAAGGAAGGCGTTTATGTATAGCATGTTTGCATATGGTGATAAAGGAAACAAATGTTTACTTGTATCATAGGTGTATCAAAAAAAAAAAAAATAAGAATGTGTTAAGTACTGTTATCAACACCACACAGTGATTGATGAAACCACCAAAGAACATAGTGACATGTACATGAAGCCAGACATTATTACTGATTACAACCTCACAAAAGGCGGAGTGGATGTTGATAAAATAAAGGCAGAATACTCAGTGACTAAATTTAATAATTGCTGACCGTTTTTCTGCAGCCTACTAAATATTTCAACTAAAATCAGCCAAATAATTTACAATACAACACTATTGTAACATCTACAAGAAACTATGTTGTAGAGCTTGGTAAGCAACTTTTTTTTAATTAATGGCTTTGGATAACTTGGTCCATTCAGCCACGATAATGTATTTGCCTTAAAGTGAATATTTAGAACCAACAAGGGATTACATAATATAGGGATACTTTTCACGCTAAGGTGCCTTTCATAACGACTAGCGGTGAATGTGTGAATAGTGTACACGTATGAACGGTGTAAACTATGAACGGTGTAGAATATGAAACGGTGTAAAATCTGAACGGTGTAGAATCTGAACGGCAAACAGAAGTGACTTCAATTGGAAGACGTCTGTTTGACAAAAGAGAAAATAATTAATATAAGACACACTGTGTAAAGATAAATAAGAGTGAATTGAAAATCCACTTACCGCCGATTGTCAAAGATAAGACCGCTTGCCACAGGAACCAACTTGGAAATGAACATCGGATTGTGAACTTAGAAGGGCTTAGACAAGCGAAGGTTGAAAATAGGGAGGGGATATTGGCTGAAAGATGCCACGCGAAATTGACATTAAATTGCTGGGCGACTGGGGTTCATTTTCATAGCTTTTACCAATGGAAAGTAAACTTTCTACGAAAAACAACGCTTTTGTTTTTCTGAGAAGACAGCTTGGAGATTTTACAATAGGACCTTTTTCCTTTGTTATTAGGAAAGATTTGTATGTACCAAAACAAGATAAAAAGAAGAAGGAGCATTTGGCGAAGTTATTTCGAGTAAGCCTCGATTTCAATTTCTTTTGCAATGTCTGCGATTTGATAACATTCACACGAGACATGAAAGAATACAGGCAGATAAACTGGCTTCAATACGAACATTGTTAAAAAAATTTAACAGCAACATTAAAAAATGCTATTCTCATTCTGGTTATGTTACCATAGATGAGAAACTAGAAGCTTTTAGAGGAAATTGTAGTTTCAGACAATATATTCCTAGCAAGCCGAATAAATATGGTATAAAAATTTTTGCCATTTTGCCATTGCAAAAAATAAAAAACAGTTGCCATTAGAATTTATACAAAATAACGGCAGGTGCATTGGCTCTTCAATGTTTGGATTTAATGACGGAATCACCTTAGTTTCGCATATGCCAAAAAAAATTGAAACGTCCTACTTATCTCTACAATGCACCATGGAGATGATATTGACCCTAACACAGGTAAACCTGAGATGATAATTACATATAATGAAACGAAGAGCGGAGTAGATGTGGTAGATAAATTATGCGCGCAATATAATTGCGCCCGTTCCACAAGACGATGGCCCATGGTTCCTTTTTTTAGTTTGTTGAATGTAGCAGGAATAAACTCTTTTGTAGTTTATACTAGTCTAGATGAAGAATCTAAAACACCACGTAAAGAATTTTTACTAAAACTTTCGATGTTACTAACCAGTGACTACCAAAAAGTACGGGCTATGTCTACCAGTTTACCCAGAACCATCAGAATGAGGCTTAGGGAGATATGTGGCTTACCAGCGGAACAAGTACCAGTCATAACACCTGGCACTCAAGGTCGCTGTGCTGTTTGTCATTGGCGGAAAAATAGAAAAACAAAATATTACTGCCAAATATGCACAAAATATCTGTGTTTGGAACATGTTACATCATTGTGTAATTCATGTTATGAAAATTTTAATTAATATTTCTTATTTTTTTTTTTGTTGCAATTACTCTTCATTTTTGATTTTTTTGTGTATTGAATTAATTTCTTAAAGTTCCTAGTAAACAAATTTAACAATATTCAATGTATTTTTTTAATTTTTAAAGTTTTTTGTATATATAAATGGATAACAATGAAAATTAGTTAACTTTTCATTAAACTAATATATTGTTGAAACAAACGCATATCTACAAAATTATATGATCATATATATTCATTAAATAATATAATTGTACACAATTTTCAAAAAAAGAAAATTAAGAAAATTAAGTCCCATTTTCAATATCCGAAATCTGCCTTTTCAGTTGAGAGTCAGAATCGAAAATATAACCAGAGAAAAGCCATCAGTTACTCAAGAGGCAACTCCTACTATATGATAATTATAGGATAATTTTGCCCTCTAAGTAAGAACAGGTTAACCTGACATTATTGTACTAACTGTAAGTTGTGAATACGTAAAGAGCATACTGGTTTACAAAATTTTACTTGCCACCGCTGGCTAGAAGAGGAAGAAATGTAATTCTATATGTAATGCATACATTTTCTTGCAATAAATCCCCATATTTGTTTTGTTCTAGGGTGATCTAATGTGTATATTTTTTAGTTTAGTAGTTTTTTGCAGTTTTGTTTTAAAAAATGTAAGTTTATCGTTTTTTGTGAGTTTAGATAAAATATAAAACACAAGTGATGGCGTAATTTTTTGAAGTGTGAGTGATGGAGGGTTAAAAAGAGGAATTACAGGTGACATACTGCTATGGGAAAGATATTTTCAGCGTGGACAAATTGATTAAGTATTATTTCAATTATAGATTGAACATTAAAGGAATTATTGAGCTGTAGTTCCTAGCTCCACAGTATTTCTACCACAAGGATATAAAATTTTCAGATAGTACTGTGATATTGTTGTTTATTTTTTATTATTCTTTCCTCTTCTCCTTATTTTTCTTCCTTTTCCCCCATTTTTCCTTTTCTTACTTCATGAATTCAATCACATTACCTGTTTTATCTTCATACACATGATTATTCTAGAGTTCTTATTTATTATTCTAAATATTTATTTTAAAAAACATTACAATATGAGTATAATGTTTTCCCAAAGAAACACTTAAGTATTTTGAAAATGTAATATAATTAGTTATTAAATATTGCATTGCTGAATTTTTAAAATCATTATTGCTTTTAGAAAAAGAACATAGAAAATGGCCCCTATAAAAAGTCACAACAGTATACTCGGCAATTTTACATTAAAGAATCGTATATCTACAAGAAGCTCCGCAATTGTACAATGCCCCGTTAAAGAAATGACAGTTTCCAATAAGGATATGAACAGACCTAAAAGAAAAGCAGATTGTTCTCCATCAAAAGAAAATAAAATGAACAAACGAACTGCCTTTGGAGAAAGAAATATAAATACAGAGCTGCTAAAGACTAAAACCGTGGAAGTTAAACCTAAGAAGACAATTTCAGTGAAGAAAGTAACAGCACACATGAAAATTTTGCCTTCTATTAAAACTGTACATAAACCGAAGCAAAATGAAAATTTATTACCACCTGCGGCTCCAGGCCAAAAGGTTAGTGAAAAGTAGATTGTTGCTTTATATATTAGTTATATTTATATGCAATGAAAATATTGCAAATTTTATGCACTAATATGCTAGATTTGATGTAGAGAATTAGTATTATATATTTAATATATTTATATATAATTTTGAAAAAGTGTCAATCTTATAAACATTTAGGTGATAATAGTTTTATATTGCATTTTGGATTGCCATTAGCATATCTACATATGATGCAAAATTTTCTAGTCAAATAATGCTATCCTTACCTCACCTTTCCATGTTTCTTTTTTTTCTAAATGGTTTCTTTTTCTACCCAGACGGATTTTTTCTCTGGCACTTGTTGTAGTACCTGTGTCCCAAATCATCCCCTTTTATTAAACTCCGCCAAAAAGGCCTCCTATGCTCTAAGGCTCCTATGTTATTCCTTAAGAGCGTAGGTGCAAAATTTCGGGCCAATGCTTTTTAAATCCATTCATTTTTTTCGAATCCTGAGAACAATAATAAATATTTTTGAAAAATTTAAACGCAGAATGAAAGATTGCATTATTACCGAGGGCCTAAAGTCCCTTAGAATACACAAAAAGTTTTTTTAATGAGATATTTGAAATTAAAAATCAGACTAAATTTTCTCTTCTTTTTCACCCCTGTAACTTATTAAAATAAACATTGTAGGTTTTCAGGGACTTTCGGCCCTCAGTAATAATGTAATCTTTTCATTCTGTGTTTAAATTTTTCAAAAATATTTATTATTGTTCTCAGGATTCGAAAAAAATGAATGCATTTAAAAAGCAAGTAGCTTAGGTGGTGTCTGGCAGCGGTCAGTGAGCATCTGATTGCCAAATAGATTAGAGGGTTAAGTAGCGTATGAGGAGTTGAGTTCAGTTGTGAGACTGATGCAAGGCCACACTACATGGAGCCTAGCTGGTGTCATATCTACACTGCTAACCATATGGTATTCGAACCTCTGTAGGAGAAGTTGACCTTGTTGGTTAACACAGTGATAGCTAGGGCACTTTTGCATCCCAATACCAGCTTGGAGCTAACTGTGTGTGCTTCCATGATCTTTACACCTGTCAGACTGTCAAAGCAGGTAGAAATAGTCCTGCCAATGAAGACCTATCAACTATCTCTTCTGATGGTATTCCACCTGTTATTCTGAAATGTGTAGAATTGTACTAGCACATCCACTTCACATTATATTTAATGAATCCCTTGCATCAGGAATATTTTCAGTATTTTGGAAAGTTAGTTATATAACATTTATCTTTAAATTAGGTAATAAGGCCGAAGTATCTAACTATAAGCCAGTATTAATCTTAGTTCAATTCCAAAATTATTTGAAAAACTAGTAGCTACTTACTTAAGATCAACATTAGGTTTGACAGTGATGGAGGAACATTTTGGGTTTTTAAAGCAGAGATTGGTGGATTTGAATTTAATTACATTTTTTGACTATCTTTCAGATATATTAGATCAGTGTGGTGAAGTGCATGCTGTTTATACTGATTTTTCAAGGTGTATGATACAGCCGTCACAAAATTTTATAAAACAATCTAAAAATTGCTGGTTTCCAGGGAACATTCTTAGAATGGTTAGCTAGTTATCAGTCTGAAAGATTCCAAATTGTAAAAGTAAATCATTTTCTGTCTAAAAAAATTTCCAATCCCACCTGGGACTTTGCTATTTGTACTATATCAATGATATTTCAGAAGATTCCTATATTTTATGTTTTACATATTATTTAAAGTATTACTTCTCAATATCATCCCCCAAGGACAGTCTTCAATTTCAAACAGATCTGGCCAGACTGGATGAATGGTTTAAGATCAATGATATGGTCTTAATATTTCTAGGTATCACTCCATAACAAATAACATAATATTTACAAAAAAACTAAACAAAATTGATTTTAAATGCAAAATAAAGAGTTCACAGTTGTCCCAAGTCACATCTATTTGAGATCTTGGTGTTATTATGGACTCCACATTCTCATGTGTCAATCATATTGACATGATAGTTTATAGAGCTCTAGGTATGACTGGATTTATTAAGAGAAATACATCAAGCTTTAAAAGTATTATAGCTATTTGATTACTATACTGTATGTAGACTTGTTAGACCCCTATTAGAATATTGTTGTGCAAAAATTATTGATTATTCTTATGATTTTTCATTATTGCAAGAGACATTCTCATTACCAACTTTAAAAGTGTGAAGAGACCAGGCAGACCTAAAATTATTACTTGTATGAATGACTGCCCTTCATTGATTTTTGAAATGTTGATGGAAGTTGCATTTACGAACACAAGATCACATGTCATCTTTTATCAGCCGTTTAGGCGTTGGTTTTAATTCATGCATGTCTTGAGTACCACATATTGCAAATCTTCATGCAAATAATCTTGAGTTTTTTAACATAACTTTCAGCAAGTTCATAAGTGTGTTGAAACTACATGTAGCCAGAGTTCTTTAGTATTTGAGTTGTTTTAAGATAAATTTTAGGTTTTATCTTGTATCTGTAAAATTTGCTTAAGTTTTGGACTATTTGTAACCAATGGCAGCATTTTCGTGCTTAACAAATGAAAGTTGAATTAATTAGTTTAATTTCTTTATGTACAAATTATTGCTATTGAGGTTGTAAATTTTTATAATTGTATCTAAAAGTAGGCTAGGCCCGTTTATAAATAAATATAATAATCTCCTGAGCACAGACACAGATCACTAAGATATTACCCTGAAAAACTAGTGTATAAGAACCGAGAGTATGGCTTGACTCATGTCAGATCACATGTCTATTTATTCCAGCGCTTGTCCACTTTTCCATCCTGGACCCACCTGTAAATCAGATGAACCCAATACGACGGGGCAGTGCTGGTTCTCGTCCCACCTTCTTATCTTTTTCTTAAAGTACCGTGTCCGTTTTCAGACGTTAAATTGTTGTAGAACAAAATTCTAAATTTGTTAAAGCAAAGAAGGCACATATTTAAGCAATAATCCACTTTTTTTTCAAAAACTAAGAAATTTTTGGATTTTGTGCTTTTGGTTTTATTCGTAGATGGCGCCGTAGCGCCTGTATGAAGGTATTTCATTATTATTTGTTTTGACGGAAACGATTTGATTTCATGTTTAGGGCTTCTGCACAATCGCTCTGAAGAATCCTGAGAGGACTAAATACATATAAGGCAGTAAGTGGAAGCACTTTACTGAAATCAAAGATTAACTGTCTTTTCTGTATCTTTACTTAGGTGCTCGTTTTTGATTATTATAATTCAGTTCACTAAAGGGTTCTTGTCTGGATGAATTGATATGTTGTGGAATACAAATTTTAGATTTCCCATGTCACTCCTTTCATAATCTGTTTGGCTTTGAAAACTGTAGAAGGCACAGATTTACGCAATGATCTGAATTTTTGCTTTCGAAAACTAAGAAATCTTCGGATTTCGACTTTTGTTTCTATTTTTAGATGACGCCGTAGCGTCTGTGTGAATTTTATTATTCTTTTGACGGAAAAGATTTGATTTCACGTTAAAGGCTTCTGCATAGGCGCTCTGAAGAGTCATGCGAGAACGAAAAACATATAAGCGAATAAGTAGAAGCATTATGCTGAAATCAAATCTTAAAAATCCCGTCTTTGCATTTTTTGAGGAATTTTTCCTCTTACTGTTTATTCATTATTGTTAATTCGTAATTTCTTGACATAAGGGTTTATATTTTGTGCCCCTTCTGGTAGTGTTGGGACTGCTCTTAAAGACTCACTGAAATATGCATGCCATTTTTTTACTTGTTCTTATACATCTTCACTTTATTGATTTTTACATAATGATATTAAATAATTGCTTCATTTTTTTATGTTCGTCGGCAACCTGCGCTTCTTCTGCAAAGATTTTCTGCCCAGTTTCTTTTGTCTTTCTTTGCCGCATTCTTGACAACGTTATTCGCTTCTCCATAACTTTCTTGAAGTCTTCCTTCTCCTGTTCTGGAATTTAGTAGTCCTAGATTAATTTCTAATAATTAAATAATATAGGAAAAGATGAAAGGATTTTGGGTGTCTACTAAATATGTGGGTAAAAACCTTTTAAATGAGGTTAACTTTGTTAATTAATACCCCCAGGGGTTGCTAACCCGAGACAAGATGTTTCTATTTGTCCTCTATAGGTCTTCGACAGATTCTATCGTTCTGTGATGTCACCCGAAAGGTCATTTCGATAATTAATATATATATATATATATATATATATATATATATATATATATATATATATATATATAATAATATATATATATATATATATATATATATATATATATATATATTTTTTTTTTTAAATAAAGGTTTTTATAAAACAAATATCACGCTACTTTAGATAATATCAACAAGGCAATCAAAAACAGTGGTTCCAAACCAGACTGCAGTGAAACCGAAAGAAGTTCTAAAAGAAAACAACGCAAATATTAACAAGCCAGGTAAACGGCTCAGCAATGAATTCGAGAAGACTGAAGACACTTTATATTGTACAGCTTTGGAGGATGGGTAAGTCACTTTAAAAGGCTTATTAATAAAATATAACTTATAGAATTTATTTTAATTTTTTGCAATGGTAATGGTGGCAGAATTAGTAGTTATGGTAGATAATTAAAATGGATTAGATGGTACACTTAGAAAGTCTAAATTTTGTAACTGAAAGTTGAGCAATTTTTTACTAATCACTTTCTAGTGAAGCATTTGACACTATTTCTAATTTTCATTAGTATTTATTGTACATTACGATAAATACAAAGTAATACATTACTCCAGGAAATAAAGCATTTAAAAATCGAAAAATTAGGTACCGTAAGCTATTTTTCAACTTGAATATTTGGGGGAAGTCAATAGAAAAGGTGTACTTAGTATACAAATTTTTACTGCGACATGTTTTTTATTAACATTTAAGTAAAAAAAGCGACTTTTTCATTCTCTTAAATATTTTGAAAATACTACGCATTCTACATTTGAGTGCAAAATAATCGACTAAAAATTATTTTGCGAAAATACGTTTCCTGTTTCAATCTAAAAAGTGTAAATTTAAAAATGTTTAGTGTACAATCATTAACCTTATTATTGAGTTTAAAAAAAATGTGTTTTTTGGTGAATTGGATGACGCATTACAAATAAATAATGCAACACGTAGAGAGGGGGTCAGAATTTGACTCATTGAAATCGACACGCACCGACTTAACGCGTTCGGTTAACATCGTACGCATCAATTTTCATAGCAACCCACTAAATCATCAGTCACTTAAGTTCGCCACTGCATTATAGATGGATACCACATCCGTCAACGCAACTCAAGCATTAGCATTATTGAGAGAAGGCCTGAGCCAGAGGGCCGTGGCAAATCGACTAAATTTAAGCCAACCTGCTGTGTCTCGAATGTATCGTCGGTACCAAGATACTGCTGATTATATCCGTCGACAAGTAGGAGGCCGTAAACGAATAACAACGGAAAGAGTCCCAAGCTAATTGCAGCCCAGAAGCAAAGGCGATTAGAACTGCCCACGAACATCTGGATTGGGACGACTATTAATAGAGTCAGGTATTATTTTTGATCCTTCGATGTCGTCTCACAACATGAATTGTTCACCTATAGACAAAAAACGTGAGCTGGGTTTAGACCATCGTGAGACAGGTTAGTATTACCCTACTGATGACTCGTCGTTGCGATAGTAATCCTGCTCAGTACGAGAGGAACCGCAGATTCGGACATTTGGTTGACGCAGTTACTCGAGCGGGTAATGGTGAGAAGCTACCATCCGTGGGATTATGCCTGAACGTCTCTAAGGCCGTATCCTTTCTTGTCAAAGGTTTCAACGATATCTCTTGCAGTTCCGAGAGTCGAAAGGCTCAAAACAATGTGACTTTACTAGGCAATCGTAGTTTGCTACGATTGTCGCACGAGCCCTTATTTCCGTTGAGATTATCGGTTTACGGTGGGATCGATCCTTGCCAGTAGACCAGATCTTTAAGGCGCCCACTCACCAAGAAGAAAGAATGCGCAATTAAGTCTCTGCATGTTTGCTGTAAGGTAAACCCGTACGGTCCACGCCGGTATACACCAGCACTTTTGCCTTTACTTTAGAAGTACGGTTAAAGTGAACATGACGTCAAAAAACGATCTTTTATTAATGACAGTGGCGTGTGTTTGTATTAAAGAAAGGTGTCGTATTAAAAGCAAACCAAGGTCGCAATGGACAAAGACTTGGTTACAAAAACGAGCTAGGTACTCTCATGTCAGTTTACTGGAAGAATTGCGACTGGATTCATCAGTTGGCATAATTTTTTGAGAATGGATCAAGATACATATTTTGAACTATTATCTTTAGTAACTCCTTTGATACAAAAACAGGACATGCGAATGCGGCAGGCTATAACGGCACATGAAAGGCTAACTGCAACATTAAGATTTTTGGCAACGAGAAGGAGCTATGAGGATTTAAAATTTTCAACAATAATTTCAGCTCAGACATTAGATCGAATTATTCCGGAAACATGTGAAGCAATATGTCGTGTATTACAAAAGGAAAACTATCTCTAAAAAAAGTAAATTTTTTGTATAATATACTTTTAAGAATGTTTTTATGAAAGAAAAAAATATTCAATACGTTTGCAATAACCTATCTCGTACATATTTCACAGCTCGTAATATTCACTGTAAATCCCAGATGATAATGATAGCTGTTCCTCAAATCTGAATTACCGAGAATATCGTAATATTTATTATATAAACACGTTTTGTGAGACAGCGACAGTGAAATTGATATCTGATACTGATATAAATATCTGGTCATTGATCACCGTTATCGAAGTTAGTCAGGAACCACAGTTATCATTGATTTATAAATCACCATCGTTCCATCTAATAATATGTAATTAATAATTAGGTACTTATAAAGAAAATAAAATTTACTTACATCTATAGAAACGTTGTTTTCTTCAGTCATGTTTGACAAGGTAGTACGAGGTGCATCTTTATCTTAAACAAATAGCAGTAAATTGTAATACCACAATTTAGGTATATATACCTCTTTCGTGCCCATACCGGATATTTTTTTATTTACTTTTTTCCATTCTTTACGGAAGCTTCCTCGCATTGTATTGAGTTTTCTATACTTTCTTTCGATGCATCGGGTTCGACTTCCCTCATTTTCTTAATTAGTTCTTCGTAGGCTTTATTTTTTTTCTGACGATCACTGTATGCTTTGTTTTTAATCTGCCATAAACAGGGATATCTTCTGTATAGCTCTACGAATTCCGTAATAAACTCTCTCAACATGCACCTTATATCACTCATGGTTTTTAATTAAGTGTTTGTTTTCTCATAAAATTATAAAATGCTTAATAATATGCAACATCCAACGAACAGTCGTACAGCACTGATTGAAAATGAAACATGCAGAGACTTGTTGCCCATACACTCTCGTTCTTCCCCGCGCGATGATAATTGCACACGCTAAAAATCAAGACGATCCTGATTTTGAGAGGCTTGATTGCGCATTCCACATTTTTCGCCATACACACACACTTTTAACTGCACCCCGTGCCATGCACATTCAATCCTTCGCGCTTCCTTCTGAGTGAGTGGGCGCCTTTAGACAGACGAACATTGATATTATAATCTTTTCGATGTTGGAACTCGGAATTGTCTGAATATTAATAGAGTCCGATATTATTCTCCGATGAAAGTATGATCTGCCTACATGGCAACGACAAGAGGCGTCGAGTCTATGAAAGGCCAGGAGCGATTTTGTATACGAAAATTGTGTCATGAAGGCGGTTCTTGTATGTTTTGGGCAGACAGTTCTATGGATGGAAATCCCGAGTTGATTTTCGTGCCTGGTGGACGATGGGGAGGAGGTTTAACGGCAGATCGTAACATCTATAGACATTTTGGAGAAACCTGTGGTTTCATACGCGGTATTTATTGGTGATGCCTTTATTATAATGCACGATGCCATATCGTACGAGTCACCACCACATATCTATCTGAGATCGGTATACCTACAATAAATTGGCCTGGTTAAGCCCGGACATAAATCCAATAGAGCATGTTTGGGATGAGCTTAAATGAAGGGTGCGGGACAGAAATCATGCACCAAGGAGCATAATAGAATTGAGAGCTGCGCTTAATGATGATTTTGACTGCCTGTGGAGGTCGACCTACTTTATCAAGATTACTTTGGTATAATATAAGTTTATTTTTTTGTAAACATAATTTTTCAAACTAAAATATATTTTCTCTTACTCCAATATAATTTGCTGTTTTTAAAAAGTTAAATAAGTCTCATATCATATTTAAGATTAATTTTTAAAATTATGCATTTTATTAGATAGCTTAACGAATACAAAATTTATTAATCTATGATAATTTTGCTGCATGTGAAGGATTAAAGTATAAATGTCGAAGGATGTCGTTGCTTTATCGCATTCACATTTCTGAGAATCTACTGCCTGCAAATTTGATTCTCGACTATAGTATTGGATATTACTTTGTATTCTGATTGTGGTTTTTCTTTACTTTAGTTGCTTGCTTTTTTAATAATACTAATTATATTACGCTTGTTTTATTGCTAGAATTGTGTGATTTTATTATATAGCTCGTTGCAAATTATAATTATGAGAGTCAACTCACACCAAGAAAGGCTCTAATTGAAAATTGGAAGTGATTTTGAACCTATTGTTCCCAAAAATATATATTTAAGGGTACATAGTAGAAGCAGGTAAAATAATGGATAAACTAAACTAATAAACTATGAGCGCTAAAATCAAACAAATCTTATAATTTTTAGAAAATATCTTTCAAAAAACAATCAATTTAAAATAAATGTTAAAACGAAATATCAAAATAAATCATATGTCAAAATACTTGCAGCACCTATTAAATAAATAATATCAGTTTAAATAAATAAAGTTTAGCAAGATATTTCGTAAATATTTTAAAGTACCAAACTTAAATATTCCATATTTTTGTCCATGAGTGTATATTCATTTTGAGCGCAAACATATATTAGAAGTTTTTTATTTTCATTACTCTCTTTGGAGATCGTAAAATTTCGATTTCTCTTGTTGTTTTCAGTTCTTGGGTCCGTATAAACCTACTAATTTTAATTTTTGGTTTTCATCTTTTATCTCTATTATTAATAGTTTTCTAATACATAGTCTACACTTTTAATGTTTTTTGTCTGTACACAACAAAATACTTTATCTTGTATTAGTATAGCTACGCCGTCTTTTAATAATCTTTTGTTTCATAGGGACTCCGGCTGTATATCAGAAGGTATTCCCCTACTCATTGCTGTCCTTTGCCTTTCTTTTTTTCGTTTTCGTTCCTTCCGTTTTTTATTCAAAGTGAATGAATATGTAGTTCCATTATTTATGATTATTCGTCTTTTTTGAAATTAAAGAAGTCTGCAACAGTAATTAATAAAGAGTTGTAGAAAATTTTAAGTTTCCTGCAATGCCTGTTATAATATTCCCAAGCTCAGTGAATCGACTGTATTATATCCGACTGCCCATATATAGAGTTTATAGGGTTTATTTGTATAGATAAAAAAGAATTACCGGTATCACATTCTTATTATTGTGTCTGTTATATATAATTATAATTTGCAATGCGTTTTACTATTAGCTATAGTATGATAACCACACAATTCTAGCGATTCCAGTAATGAAAGTACATACTTCAGTGCAAAAAAACAACATAACTTGCGATCTGCGAGAACTTCAGAATCAGCAGAGACGCAAAAAGGCAATAAAGAAAACGAAAAAATGGAAGCCGAAGAAAAATCAAATCTCACAGTTGTTGCCGAACAAATGGAATTAAAGCTAAATCTTGGAGACCATGAGATACCAGAGAATGTAGTAAATTATGATAAAGAAAATTGGAATGATATTTTCCAAGTGTCACATTATGCCATGGACATTTTCAACTACCTCAAAGAAAGAGAAGTAAGTATATTGTAATGTTTTTTTATTTACAGTCATTTAATTTAATTCTTCTTTTTTCTCCTCATTTTTTCCTTTTTAGGGGTCGCTGTTCCTTACTCTTCGTCGTCACTCATTTCTGTCCATCGGGTCTTCTATCCTTAACATTTTATCTCTCAAGGTCTCTGTTACACAGTCCTTTTTCTCCTCGGTTTTCCTCTTACAACTCTATCGTTCGTCCCACATAGTTTTTATCTCTGCGTCTGATATGACAAAACCAATGCAGTCTTTGTTCTTGAATATTTTTTTGAGACCGCAGTCACACCGGCTCTTTCCCTAATCAAGTCGTTTCTGATCCTGTCCCTTCTAGTCTTACCCAACATCCACCGTAACATTTTTATTTCAGCTACCTCCATCTTCTTTTCCTCCATCTTCTTTACAGGCCACTTCACCGCCGTACACTAACGCAGGTCTTACCACATTCTTGTATATTTTTCCTTTCAGACCTTCCCCGATTTTTCGATTACAAAGTAACACCCTTTTCAAGGTATTTCAATTCTGCTTTTCGACCTAGCTTTTCTCCAAGTAATTCTACGTCCCCAACCAATCCTCTTCCTCCTAACCCCATATACTCCGTTTTCGGAACTGCATCTGCATCGAAACTTCACCGGAATTTTCTATAGACATCTTGACGTCACCGTATTGTTCGAAGGAGCTTCTCAATTGATCGCTAGCTCTAGACCTGCAGAATTGAGTCAAGAAACGTCGCGGTTGTTCGATGATCAGGGTCGGCATTACAATATAATCGTAGCACTTAAACATTTTTATAACATTTTTCATTTTTGTTTAATTTCAAATTCATACAAACGGAAAAGAAAAAAGATTTTACCTGGAACAACCGAGACTAGGAAATAATAAAAGCTTAATGAATAACTACAAGTCCTTGGGACAATTTTAGGGAGTCATTTGACCCAACTTGAATCGCGTATAAATCAATACTATAATATATATTAACGACTTAAAGAACTATACCGCCAATTCTTATCGGTATTCAAGGCATTAGGGTTCAAATTAAGGGTTTGTCTATATACTGATCCGAAACTTTGTATATGAATGTCGTACAGTGTCAAATTGGGAAAACAGTTTTTCGAAAATAAAAAATCTTTCCTGTTCAAAAAATATTTTTGTATGGTATTAGGTCGCAAGTCATTATTTTGGTATTACCTATCTAAGTTATAAATGCCGTACAAATATCTTTGGCCAAAATGTTCCCCCCCCCCTCCTTGAGGGGTAAGTTTATCTTATCTGTGACTCATCTGTACCGACAAGAATTGACGGCATAGTTTCTAAAGTTGTTATTACATATTGTAGTATTGATTCATATGTGATTCATGTTGATTCAAATGATTCATTAAAGAAGACTACCTATTTATATACAATAGTGTACCAAGATACTAGAGAGCTAAAGAGGGTGGAATTAATCGTTAGAAGGAAATAAGATAGAAGAGTTTAATTATATATAGCAAAGAATAGTCACTGAGAAAATCAGAATTGACAAGATATCAAATGTAATTGAGGTATATGCGCCGGTGAACTTCAAGCCAGAAGAAGAGAAGGACAATTTTTATGAAGAACAATATGTGATGGATGGTGTGAAGAACAAAGAAGTTATAATAATCTTGGGTGAAAGCACGTGGTGTTCGTGTGTATTAAGGTATAAAAACGCTTATTAACCTTCCGCAGATAACGTGAAACATTTTAAAATTTTTGATAACGTCGGTCTAACAAACCGACTTTTTCTAAAATTAAAAAAAAATAGAAATTTAGCTGTAGGTGATAAATATTTGTAATAATATAATTGTGTATATTATTCTCTATACAAATATATAAAATTTATAATTTTTTTGTTATTTTAATAATTTTAAGGAGATATTAAAAAAAAGTGTCATTTTTATGAACAGTCTTTTAATAAAATCAAAATAATTATAACAAAAAAAATAAATTCTGGTTTCACTAAAACATAAATCAGTTACTTGTATGTTAATAAACAGAGAAAATAAAATTTTACTCTCAAAATTTTCACAGATCACTGAAACTATTCCAAATTTTGGGCACCATAATTTTCAAAACAATGCCTGGATATTTTCGCCACCTTGTAGTTCCATCTTTACCGATAAGGCAGGGTATTCTTGAAGTACAAGCGGTTTCTTCAAGAATAGGTAAGTTTTGTTGATTTTCAAACTCCTCTTCAGAGTATATATCCTCAATAGTTTCTATAATATGGTCGTCTATCAAACTCACATCATCATCATCTGGTTCTGCCTCTGAATCATTTAAAACTTCCCCATGAAGCCGCAACAGCCATTCTTGTTCCCTCTCGTAATTCATTAGAAACGTATGCCCTAAAATATAATATAAATCAATACCGCAAACAAAAAATCAAAAAAATTAGTCTTACCTCAAAATGTAACGGCAACTATAACGTCGGTTTGTGGGACCGAATCGTGTATAATACTGAAAATTCTTATTAAACGATACACGCTGTCCACTTGCTAAACTATAACTGAATAGATACAAGCACGTTCGAAAGGTACTATGAGGTGCAGATTGAAATAAAAATTAGCAGCGCTTAAACCGCGAAAATTTAAATCAGTCGGTGCGAGAGACATAACGTTATCAGCCGAAGGTTAAAAGCTTAAAATTTTTTATTATAAAGAAGATCTTTTCGGAATTGTATCATTCCATCATCAGTTTAATAAAAAAGGTTGTTAAAAACATTGTGTGGCCACATAAAAAACATTCGGTGGACATCTGGATTTAAAAAATAATATTCTTCGTGTTATTTATTCAGGTAAATGCAATTGACTCTTGACTTGTGTAATATAAAAAATGAAACTGGGGGCATCTTATACCCCCTGTAGTTGGTGAAGTTTTATTGACTTACATTACCTCTGATCTGTGTTGGAGTCTAGGGCTAACTGGTTAACCGTGGGAAAAGCGTGGGATATATATTTATCATTTGCCATCAAAAAACCGAATGCGGTTTTAGTTTGGAAAGGTACTAAACCATACAACACATTTACACTTAAAATAGATCCCAAAAATTGCAAATGTGATATATTTGGCAGATAAATACCACCAATATATAACTCGTAGTACGAGCAAATACAAGTCACAAATTAAGATAAAGAACAACAATAAGAAGAACAGTGGCTAAGTTGAAACTAAAGATTTCTAGTTTTTTATATTATATTAATCAGTTTTCTCTTTGCCGAAGTTGTTTTTATTATTTTTATCACATTTATTTTTTTTCCTGTGGTCTCTATTATTTTTCTTGCTGTTTAGAGTTGCTTTGAGTTCAAAAATAAAGTTATGGTTTTTGTTTTATGATAAATAAATGCTGAACGCAATAATGTTGCTTTATTTGTGTACTTTTTAGAGGTTCGGTTAAAAAAACAGTCAACTTCGAGATTTTAATTTTTTTGTCGAAGTCTCAAAACAATATTTTATTCTCAGTTTGGTATTAAATAATTTTCCACCACTAATACTTAATTGATAATTTTTTTGACAGAAGATTCCTGCAAATAACAATATTTGAAAGTTTTTGAAAATATTTGAAAATGGAGTTGACTGGTTTTTAAACCGAACCCTTCAATTCTTAATTACTATTTAACTGGGAATACGCCACAATTAAAGGAAAAAATACGTTTATTGGCGTTTCAATTTCCACTTCGGAAATCGTTCTCAAAATACAAACAGTAAATTAAACAAATTTTGTTTTTTTGTTACTTAGCGAAAAATTCTTCTAATAATTTAATTTTATCTGACTCATTTATATTGACAATTCAGACATACATTATGCATTTTAAAGTGGACGACTTTAAAATGATATTGCCAATATTGTTGAGTGCGCTTCTGGGATGACTTTACTTATAAGATAGTTCATTAGATTACATAAAATCAACTTTAACTTGAGAATATCCGTCAGAAAAAATCATAGCATGTAATTCGTCTTTAAAAAGACAAACACATGACATGATGGCAGTAAAATTCTCCTGTTAGTGATTCCATAGTAAATTATGAGGGAAAAACCAGGAAAAAAACCTCATAATACTATCCCGACATGGTAAGTATTTGGTAGTGCATTTAGTTTACCTTCAATAAACACCAAATTCTGATTTGATATATTTCGTTATTTAAAAAATATAAATGATGTATCCTCTATATGTTACTTACTTACTTATACTGGTAAATAACTTTCTCTTTCAATATTGGTAACGAGATCCTACTACATTCTACCGAGGAATTTGCGACACAATTGGTCTCATTTAGCATAATTAGAGTCGCCTCTTTGATTTTTCTTTTTTTACCATTCGTTTCTTTTAGGACTACATTTGAATTATTCCATTGAACCCTATGTTCATTATCCCATGCGAGTTTACATATTTGAGATATATCAAATTCTTTATTTTTAATATAAGATTGATGTTCACTTATTCTAACATTTAATGGCCTTGATGTTTCACCTAAATAAAACTGATCGCATTCACAAGGTATTTTATAAATGCAATTCTTTGTCCTTCCTTGTTCATTGTTAGGTTTGGTTTTGGTCAAAATAGATTTCCACGTGTTTGTTGTTTTGAATGTTGTTGAAATGTTGAATTTATTTCCTATCCTTTTAAGTTTTTCTGATAATCCTTTTATGTAGGTTATTGTTATTTTCCTCGTATTATTCCTTTGTATGCTGTAGGATCTCGTTCTAAGTTGTTTACTGTTTGTATTTTGAGAACGATTTTCGAAGTGGAAATTGAAACGTCAATAAACGTATTTTTACCTTTAATTGTGGCTTATTCCCAGTTAAATAGTAATTAATTTAAAATGCCACAAGAAAATAGCTTCAGAACCTTCAATGATTGTTAGCAATACACAAAAAAAAATCAACTTGTATTATTATTGTTTTTACGTTTCCCTTGATGTAAACTTGAAAGTCTCATTAAAATTATACATTTTTCATTACCACAACATTCTCGTAATAGCTCACAAAACCATACGGGTACCAAATTTTATTTGTAATGAGATTCTTTTAGCAAATTTATCTACATTAATCTCGTCTCTTGAGGTGAGTTGTTTTAAAAAATAGCCTACTATTTAGCGATAACGTGACTCTGTACGTTATTCCACTGGTCGACTTTACTCACGCATTTTCATTTGTATGTGCTTTTAAATTTTTTATGATTATTAGGAGGGGTAAAACGAATATATTATTCGCTTTTTTTTAATAGTAGAAAATACTTAAGTTAGTTTAGGTAATTTTTTAGTTCTTTATTTTGTGGACGCGCTGAATTACTGTACCTCTTTTGTACTAACTGACAAAACGTTCTAAAATTGTTTAAGTCTAACTTCTTAGTTCTGAAATATAATTTTGATGAAAATATAGAATTTTATGGTATATTCTGTACCTAATAAAAACATATTTTAGGTTCTGTTTCCAGTACCTGATTATTTAGATCGCCAAATATGTCTCACTCGGTGGATGCGATCGCTACTCGTCGATTGGATGGTTGAAATTCAAGAAAGTTTCGAACTCAATCATGAAACTCTTTACTTAGGAGTTAAACTAGTTGATCTATATCTCAGTAAAATGACAGTAGGAAAGGAAACCTTACAATTAGTCGGTGCCGCTGCTATGTTGATAGCTAGTAAATATGACGAACGGATTCCACCTATGCTTGACGATTTCTTGTATATTTGCGATGGCGCCTATACCAAGAGGGAACTTATTAGGATGGAGATCAATTTGTTTAAAGTAATCGGATTCGACTTAGGAATACCCATTAGTTACAGATTTTTGAGAAGATATGCCAGGGTAAGAAAAGTATTTTGTATTATTTATTCTATAAAATATTCAATTAAAAATTGTACTTATTTTTTACAAAATGAATTTTATGTTTATTCACAAAAAGTTTAATCAAGATTTTCCTTGACATTTCGGATTTTTCCTTAGTTGCGTCAAATCGCTCCATCAAATGACCAATTCTGTCAAGTAGCTTAAGTGAAAAAGTATAGCTCAATGCTAATGCTATTTTTGATTTATGATGACTCTAATAAATAGAAAACCTCAACAAAGAGAAAGAATTCAGAGCATTTTACAGGAAAGTTAACACCAACAGAAAATAATTCAAGGCAACCACAAGACAATGCAGAAGTCAGAATGTCGACTTATTAACAACAAGGAAAAATGGATTGAATAGATGGACGGAATATTTTAACCAAGCATTTAATATAGAGGAAGAAGAAGAAATCCTGGATGACGAAAAAGATGAGGTAAAGGAACATACGGGAGGGAACAGGAACCACCAACGATTCTGTGGTGGTTCATAAGTTTAAGATGCAGTTAAAAACTAGTCAGAAACAAATCACCTGGAATAGATGATAATCTTCCAGCTGAAATATATAAAGAAGGCGTCCAAGATACCATAGTGGACATAAAATATGGACACATAAATCCTTCCCTAATGATTGGAATATTGGAATATCTTGATAACGTCGATGAAGACATGAGAAATATGGGAATACGTGCTTGGTGGAGGAAGGCGAGGGATAGGGACGACTGGAGAAAAGTTCTTTCGGAGGCTAGGACCCAAGCAGGGTTTTAAAACCAGAATGATGGTGATGACTCTAATATATGGCAGATCAGCATTAAAGGTCAGCAAACGGCTTCTATCAAAGTCCATCTCCAATGATTAAAATACTTTGGACATGGTACGAGAGCAGACACAGAAAACATGGAAATACTTAATATCCAAAAAAGGTAGAAGGCCGAACAAAATCATGAGGCAGATCCCCAACACGATGGATCAACCACATTACCGGAAAATGACCAGATACGGAGATTTTTAGAGACCAACAATACACAACATTAAGATGACCATTACACTCTCTCTGGGGGGTCAGGACTGAAGAGATATATGACAGATCTGCTTAGAACTTAGATCGCCTTTATATAGTGCTGATTTTGCAACAATTTAGGTATAGTGTAAATATTTTAAGTGAATTTACGCTTTTGAATATATAATTACAGAAGGTTCCCCGTTGTGCCAAATAAGGGGGACGTAGGGTATTTCGGAAAAACAAATTTGACATTTGGGTTTTAAATTCAATTAGAAAAAAAATAACCAAAAAATAAAAAACTTTTCGGTTACAAAACATATTTTTAATATTTCCTGAAATTTCCGTAAGATTTCCTGAAATTTTCCATCATGTTCTGTTTTTTTTTTTCATTTTGATAACGTTTCATTGCCGTCATACATCGTATTATTTTCTAAACATGAAAAGAATTTAATTTGTCGGAACCGTTTTGAATAAACTGTATTCCGGTTAAGAGAGCTTTTATTGTTTTTTTTTTCCTCACTACCATTGGGAGGTGATACACAAAATAAAAGGGCGGAGTTTTGGTACTCTAGAGATACTAAAAGTCCATTCCGAGGCCATCGAACTAAACAGTACAGACGATTTCTGGTACTTCTAGAGTCCCTAACGCCAAGACTTTGTGACCAGTGTTAGTGTATTCGTGGCACTCACCAGATTTTTTATTCCTGGAAATGTAAGAAATGCTGAACCTCACTTTTCTTCCTTTTTTTGAAAGCATAGCTTTTTATTGTGGCTACCGAGGAAGTGGTGGATCGCACAGAGGTATTCTTAAATAAAAAGCGACTGAAACGCAATGAAACGGTAACGAAAGATCGCGCGACTACACTAAGTTTAGTCTACATTTACGTGCATAGCTGATAAGAAATCTATGCTTCCTTTCCTCGGGCCACTCCAGGAGTGCCACATCTCGTTTTTTGTGAGTTTTTCTCGCGAATGTTTGTTTTCTTCTTATTTATTGGAACACAAATCATCGAACATCAGCACCTACGGCGTTTGATTCCAATTTCTTCCATGGTCACTTATTCAAATTGTAGCGTTTCATTTTTCTTTCCTTTAATTTTGTACCAAGACGTGACTACTTTATCTCGTAGACTGTTTTTTATTACGTTTATGTATTCCATACTTAAGTTCCCGTGTCATTAATTTCGTCTGTATGTGATTATACAGGGTGTTTCCAAAAGGTATGTCATAAATTAAATCACGCATTTCGAGGACAAAAATAAATTGATTAAATCCAACTTACCTTAGTACAAAAGTGTACACACAAAAAAAGTTACAGCCCTTTGAAATTACAAAATAAAAATTGTTTTTTGCATTATCTCCTAAACTACTTTACATTTTCTAATAAAGATGGACCCGTTACTTTCTTGTTCTGAAAGCATTTTTCATACAAAAGAAACAACAAAATCTAAGTGCACAGAAAAATTTTAAGGGGGTGTGCAGCCCTAAATCCCCCCAACTTTTGAGTACGTTCAACTTACAATTAGTTTCTACGGATACAATAATTATAAATAGTTCCATCAATAATAGTAAACTATTTGAAGCTATTATTTGTTGTGTGAATAAGATTAATATTAAAAATTGTGATATTACAATGGCCTACACATTTCAGGAAATGGCAGATATGCATTTAACTTTGGGTAAGTTGGATCAGACTAAATTATGATTTTAATAAACTATCGGGAATATCGTAGGTGAATGTCAAGGAAATAGTGCAACAGCCGCAAGGCGTTATGCAGTAAAATACCCAATCAAAATACACCCGATAGACGATTATTTTTGACCATTGATCGTCGTTTACGGGAAACGTGTACATTCCAACCGCAAGTTGCTGTCAATAGTGGTCGTCCAATAATGGATGCAACTGATGACGACATTTTAGAAATCATTGAAGAAGTCCCGGGAACAAGTACAAGGGTAATAGCTGCTTAACTGAATGTTCCTCATGGAAGGGTTTGGAGGCGTTTAAAGGATCAGCTGCTTAAACCCTATCACTTAACAACGGTTCAAGAGTTATTGGTTGAAGATTATCCTAAAAGGATTGGATTTTGCGATTGTTGTTAATGGAAAACACTCGAAATGTTAATTTTATTAGAAATATTTTGTTTACCGACGAGGCTACCTTCAGTAGAAATGGAATAATAAACCATCAGAACGAGTACATTTGGGTTGACGAAAATCCTCACGCCAAAACAGCGACTCATCGCCAAAGGACTTTTAAAGTTAATGTTTGGGCAGGAATTTTGATTAACAATCTAATAGGCCCAGTATTTCTTCCTAACAATTTAAAAGGTGATAATTATTTGCAATTCTTGGCAAACGATTTACAAGATTATTTGGAAGAAGTGAATATTGCAATAAGGCAAAATATGTGGTTTCTACAAGATGGCGCTCCAGCGCATTACAGTAAAGAAGTCCGGGAATACCTTTGCAGGCAGTATCCTGGTCGGTGAATTGGAAGGGGTCGTGACGCACCTATTTATTGGCCACCTAGAAGTCCAGGTATTAACCCTATAGACTTTTGTTTTTGAGGGTGTATGAAAGAGAAAGTGTATTATGAAACAATAGAGGACGAACAACAATTGAGGGTTAGAATAATTGAAGCTGCAAATCAATTTCGTCAGAAAAATATGATTAAAACATATTTTAAAACGCATTCGGTTTTCCTTATTAAAACGACACCGAATGTGTTTTCAAGAAAATGGGGGTCATTTTGAACATTTATTGTACTATCATATTTATAGAAGTTATAGACATTTTTTGTACTTAAGCCATTTATTTAGTTGCACGCAATTTTTTAAAGGTTAATGAAAAGCCGTAACTCAATAAAAACTATTTTTTGAAAAAGTGATGAGGCAAAAATATTTTCAAAATAATGTGTTAAACTATTATGCCACAAAATTCATTTGATTCGAACGTACTCAAAAGTTTGGGGGGATTTAGGGCTGCGCACCCCCTTAAAATTTTTCTGTGCGCTTAGACTTTGTTATTTCTTTTTTATGAAAATTGCTTTCAGAACAAGAATGTAACGTGTCCATTTTTATTACAAAATGTCAAGTAGTTTAGAAGATAATGCAAAAAAAAACAATTTTTATTGTGTAACAAAAGCAAAGGGCTGTAACTTTTTTTGTGTGCACTTTTGTACTAAGGTAAGTTTGATTCAATCAATTTATTTTTGTCCTCGGAATGCGTGATTTAATTTATGAAATACATTTTTAAAACACCCCGTATTAAAAGTACGTAATATTTCGCATGAAATGGGATGAAAAAGTAATGAACCCACTGAAAAACACATTTTTATTGTTCTAAATTGAAAGGCAAAATTCAACTGAATAAAAACCGATTCGGCTTCACTGAGCCAATATTGTCTCTTTTTTAACTTTTGTTCCAAACAAAATAGGCTTAGAATGGAGTAATTAAAAATATGTTTATTTAAATCAAGACATGAATATGTTGTATTTATTTTTTTAGTGTGCGAAAATAACGATGCCTGTTCTGACACTAGCTAGATTTATTCTAGAGTACTCATTAATGAATTACGAGACAGTAGGTATTAGAGATTCCAAATTGGCGTCGGCTGCTCTTTATATAGCACTTAGAATGCAACGTATCAGCCACTGGACTCCAACATTGGAATTTTATACAGGTAAAGTATAAATTGTATATTTAATACGTATCTTAAAAAATTAAGTTAACTCCACCTTCCTTGTCTTCCAATACACCCAGAAAATTTTAACGGAAAATGCAAAATACGAACATAAATCCATACAGTGTGTTAATTTTAAAACTTACAACGGGCTATATCTCATGAACAAAAGCTGATATCGAAAAATGCTTGAAAGCGTTTCTAGGATAGTAAGAGGCAACTAAAATGACACTTAACAATGACAAATAACTTTTTGGCTCCACGGCCAAAAAAGATTAAATTGCAAACCCCTACTTGTGATATATCATTGAAAAGACTAAAAAAAAATGCTATCCAATGGTATAAATAATAATTATACAGGGCGAAGCAATAATTGTGAAACTTTGGCTTAAATGGAAAATTTAATGAGGTTGTGTTGACCTACAAATTTGTTAAAAATGTCAATTAAGTAAATGTTCAAAGTGGGTTCCGTTGTTTTGTAAACAATAATACAGACTATTTTGTTGTTGGAAGTGCAGCAAATCTTTGTCTAAAGCTAGGTTGCTAGGATCGTCCCTTTGGTTCTCTAATTCATACAGAATTAAAGATTCGATGGTGTTTTCCAGCATATCGAGATAAAGGTCGCCACTTAAATTGCCTGGTATGAACAAGGGGCCAATTATTATAGCATCGCCTAATGTTTCTGCCCAAACATTCAATTTTTCAGGATATTGAGTGTGACCTCTGAATCGATGCGGGTTCGCATCACTCCAGTACCAACAATATTGTTTATAGTACCATTCAGCGTAAAAGTAATTCATCAGTGAAACAAATATTTTTTTAACATTCTCGGTTCAACGCGAATTCTTTCAGTAATGAGTTCGCAAAACTCAATTCGTCGGTCTGGATCATCATCGCTTAGTTCTTGAAGAAGTTGTATTTTGTAAGGGTGAAACTTATGTAATTCCAACATCTTTCTAACCGACTTCTATTGCAAAATTTCTAAGGACCTCAATTTGGGATGTTTCATTCAGTAATTTGAGGGCATCCCTTTTTTTTTTATTTCGCACTGATCCCGTTTCTCTAAACGGGACGTACACGTGACTTACATTTTTGTCAGAATGCCTTTTATGAAATATTTGAGCTGTTCGTAAATAACACTGGTTCTGGGAGGCAAATATGAAAATGATCTCCACGCGTTCAGGTATACTGTAAACCATCGTGACAACTACAGCTGAATGACAGTACAAAGCCGATCGTACAAATGATGAAATCTAATGACATTTAAAATTCTCAAATAAACAAAAAATTATTTAATCTGACAGAACCCAAAAAACATATATTTTCAACTTGTTTTGCAAAAACGGCAAATTAAGTTTTTATTTAACAAATTAAACCCGACGGGCACTTAGACGATGGCCGTGAAAGCCTAACATATTTTAAAATACAATTGTTACGTACAAGTACATACTATTTAAAAATAATTATATTACAATACATTTAAGTCAGTAATATTTCATTAATAAGATCTGTGGCTAATGAACATAGTTCTAAGCCAAACCTCTCTACACATACATTCACACAATCTTTGTCCCAAAATACATTTTATTGTTTGGCATTTGTCAATTTAGAAAATTAAAATTTTACAATGTTATTCCCATTCTTTCACACTATGAAATTGCAAAAGCAATAAATTGTCAAATATTTATTATAAAACTTTTAATGTATTTTTAGGTTATAAATTAGAAGAATTCAAAGACGTTGTTATCATCTTAAATACGGGTATTAATCAGCCTCCCAAATCACAATTAATGACAGTAAGAAACAAATATTCTCATAAAATATTCTTCGAAGTAGCGAAGGTACCACTTCTAGGAAACAATGAGCTGTTCTGATATTTTGAAAATTTTCATGTTAACCGACGTTATACAATATTTTATTTTTGTATGTAATTTTAGCTTCTATTTCTATTGATTGTCTATAAATAACAGGATTTTAGCTATGTTATTTTACATAAAAAAAGTTTTAGCAATGTCTTATAATATTTTATTTGTGTTGATTATATAATTTAATGTCTTGTATAAAGCGTATAAAAAAGAACATGCTTTTCAATTCGTTTGTGTATGTTGCCATAAGAGCAGTGTACTTTTTTATATTTTTTTAATTTGAGTGATTTTTGTGGGACTTTAACTTGACTTATATTTGTAGTTAAAGTGACTGGTTATAGTATTTTTACAGTATTATTAAAATTAAGAGTTCGGTCCTAGAGTCGAAGTCGAAATAATTGTCAGTAACGTCATTTCTAGTTTTTAGAGCTTACGGCATCTTGGGTGAAAAACGGGACAATTCCAGTGAAATGGAAAATTATACCAGCATAAAAAATATAAATATTTTCTGGCACGATTAAACCCATTAATGCCCACCGCCAAAAGAGAAACTAAAAACACGTTTTGGAGTTGCTTTTAATTATGATCATAATTATATATAAAAAAAAATGTGTACATTTTTTAAATTTGGTTTTTGAAAAAAAAAAATGGTGTATGCAAGCAGTTACACTGGGACAATTAGTATAAAATATATAAAATATAATTATATATAACCAGTAGAAATAATGAACATGAAAATGCTTACAGACTAAGGAAACATTTATTAAAAATTCATACATATACATAAAAAACACATAATTAATTATGAGTGAAATATTTTAAAACACTCTCTCTGCTCAGTGCAGAGAGTTACATTGCATTTTTCATATATCCATCTAACTCTCATGTGGCATTGGCCACATCTTCGAGGGTTCGTGGTTCTTTTAGGAAAATATCCATCAGGAGTATCCAGTATACTCTTTGGCAGCGAACCAGATGGTTTGATAGTTGTGGATCGTCTTTGTATGGCTTTGTTGAAAGCTCTCCAGTAATGGCTGACAATATTTCTTTGAAATAGTAGCAAATCTTATATAGTTTCCACGCATTGACAACTGTCACATTTATCATATGGGTAAAGAGTACCCACCACCATTTTTACGTCCACACACCCCCCCCCCCATTGATAAAGATTTGAATAACTGAGGTTGTAACACTACTATTTTTTTTTTGTTTTGCACACCAACGCTTTACTTGTGCAGGGGCATTTTATTATTTACAAATTTTTAGTTTACTTATTTAGAAATAATATAGCATTTTCTTCATCATAGCAATGATCATAATATCCACGATCTTTTCTCTTCATCTCTTTGCCTTGTATAAGAGGGCATTTTTTGATACCATTATCACGGTGTCTGTAGCTCCGATACCTTTTTGTTTCAATGTCACTAAAAGTTCATAACTCGCAAAATAGTTATCGAAAAATATTATGTGATCAGTTGGAACTGTAATAATACTCAGGAGGTCTAAAACAACTTGTGATCCTAGTGGCAGTTTCGACTTTTTCGGTTTCATCTGTTCTTCGTTAGTTGAAGGCTTAGTTCCGCAGTACGTATCAAAAGCATAACAGTAGATAGTAGAACTGCACAACATCCAATCCTTGTAGCCAAAGCGTACTGGCTTTGATTTGATGAATTGCTTCGCCGAATCATCATCAATCAGCCAATCGCGTCCACTGCTGGACATAGGCCTCCCTCAGTTCTTTCCAGTGTTCTCTACACTGGGCCGCTTGTAGCCAGTTTCCCGCTACACGTTTAATGTCATCGGTCCATCTAGTCGGTGGTCGTCCTCGGCTTCTTTTATAATTTCTGGGCCTCCATTCCATAATACGTCTTGTCCACCGTCCATCTTGTGTTCTGGCTAAGTGCCCTGCCCAGTTCCACTTAAGCGTCGTGGTTCTTTCGATGACGTCTTGAACTCCTGATCTTCGCCTGATTTGTTGGTTTGTTATGTGGTCTCGAAGGCTCACGTTCAGCATTGTACGTTCCATGGCTCGTTGTGTAAACTGTAAAGTTTATTCGCAGATTTTTGCGTGAGTGTTAAAGTCTCTGCTCCATAAGTTTGTACAGGTAAAACACATTGGTTATAAACCTTTCGCTTGAGACACATGGGAATTGAACTTTTTAGAATATGGCTTAATTTGCCAAATGCTGCCCATGTTAGACCTATTCGCCTCTGTATTTTATGTGTTTGATTGTCTCTGCTTATTTTGATTTCGTGTCCCAGATATTTGTAAGTGTCTGTTTGTTGTATGGTATTATTGTCAATAGTTATATTTCCACTCATTACGAGATTTGTTATAATTTTAGTTTTCTCAAAGTTTTCTTTAATCCTGCTCTTTCAGACAGACTTTTAAGCGAATGCATAATAGAAACTGTATCATAGTTATCTGCGATTAATACAACATCATCTGCAAACCTTAGGTGATTTAATCTTTCTCCATCTATATTGATGCCCATATCTTGCCATTGAGTACCCTTAAATATTGACTCTAGAGCTGCCGTGAACAATTTTGGTGAAATATTGTTTCCTTGTCTAACTCCTCGACCTAAGCTGAATTTTTCTGTGTCCTCGTGCAGTCGTATACTTGATGTAGCGTTCTGATAGATGTTTTTGATTAGTGTCGTGTACCTGTAATCTATTCGGCTTTGATTTAGGGCTTCCAGTATTGTTTCAAACTCTACAGAATCAAAAGCCTTCTCGTAATCGACAAATGCAAGAACCAGTGGTATGTTGTACTCGATGCACTTTTCTATTAAGATCTTTATGGTATGCAAATGGTCATTTGTGCCATATCCTGCCCTGAAGCCTGCCTGGGCTGATAGAAATCAAGTTTAGGTGTTAGCCTCTTTGTTAAGATTTTCATAAAGAGTTTGTACATATGTGTCAAGAGGCTGATGGGTCTATAATTTTCTAATTTAGTAATATCGCCTTTTTTGTGTAACAAGATATTACTGCATTGTTCCAGTCTTTTGGAATCGTACCCGCATGTAAGCATTTAGTAAACAGTTCGCTTACTGATTTTAATAAAATTTCTCCACCTGCTTTTATTGCCTCGATAACGAGTCCATCATCACCAGGCGATCGATGGTTCTTCATTTCCTTTAAAGCTGCTCTTACTTCTGACACAGTAATGGGTAAAAGTATTTCCGATCCCTTTTGTATGAGAGTCTTTACTCGTGTCGGGAAATTGTCTTGTGGTCTTTGGCTGGTATAGAGGTCTTTATAAAATTCTCTAGTTATTTTCAGAATGTTTTGTTTATCTGTTGTTGCCTTTCCGTCTTTATCTCTCAGCTTGTATATTTCTTTTTTACTTTGCGTAAGTTTTCTTTTCATTATCTTTAAACCTTTGTTCTCTTCTACTGTTTGAGTAATTACATTAGTATTATATCTTCTTATATCTTTTCTAATTTCCGCTGAAATTCTTTTATTTAGTTTTTTATATTCTTCTTCGTTTCCTTTTTCGTTCTCGCTTAGGTTTCGTCGTATTTCCATGAGAGCCCTTGTATCTTTGCTAATCTTTTCACTTTTGGTGTCATTTTTCTTGCAAAATTTGAGTTGTGCGTTTCTAACTGAGTCTGTTATTAATTTATTGTGATCGTCGATACTTAGAAGGTTTGGGATTATTACTCTGTAAAGTTTCGGCTATATTTCTTATGTATGTTTCTGGATGATTTGGTGAGTTCCAAACTATGCGTTTACAACTGTTTATCATCTTTGCTCTTTCTTTTTGTAGATTCATCGTTACTCTAGCTCTTACTGGTCTGTGGTCGCTTCCTACTGATAGTTTATTGAGTACAGTGACATCTTGAATAATTTTCTTTTTGTCTGTTATTATATAATCATATTCGCTCTTAGTTCTTCCGTCTGGACTAGCCCACGTCCATTTTCTATTCTGTTTCTTCTTAAAAAAGGTGTTCATTGGATACAGTTTGTGTTGCAGTAGAAAGTTGGTAAGCATTTCGCCTCTTTCGTTTCTTACTCCGATTCCAAAATCTCCGATTGCCACTTCTTGTTCGTCTTTTTTCCTTCCGATTTTCCCGTTAAAATCTCCCATTATCAGATTGTAATGAGCCGGTTCCTGCTTTTTTGCTCTTTCGATTTCCTCATAGAAGGCTTCGACAATTTCATCTTCGTAATCGCTGGTGGGGGCGTATACCTGGATTATTTTCAGATTGTATCTCTTATTTAGTCTTAGATTTATATACATAACTCTTGGGGAAATCCAGTCAATGCTCTGTATATTTTTCTGTAATTTTTTGTGTACTAATAAACCTATTCCTCCAGTTGTCGATTCCGTTTCCCCTTTATAGTGGAATATGTTTCCTGATTTTAGTTTGACATGATCTTCACCTCTTCTTTTGACTTCGCTAATTCCTATAATATCCCATTTCACATGTTTGAGTTCTTCCTCCAGTTCTGTCATTTTTTCATCCTTAGATAAAGTTCTTACATTATACGTAATTATGTGCAACGTTCGTCGTTCTTGGTAGCCTCTTACATCCCGGGGATTCTTCGCACCCTCTACCCGCTGTCCGTGAGTCCTACCGCTACCTTGGTCGGGAACTAGCGAGCTGCCGGGGACTGAGGGCCGTTTTCTTGAATGTCTGTTCATGTTGAGGGGGTTTTTGCATTTAAACACCACGCTTGCCAGGCGGGTTGGTGAGTTGGTTTGGGAAATTGGTAGGATAGTAGGTATTGGGTAGGAATGGGGTTAGGACATGATTTCTCTCCACAGGAGTTGAGAGAGAATCAAGGCTCGCGTAGGGCAGGATCGCATCCCTGAAGTAAGTCTATCCTCCACTGGGATTGTGGAAGAGTACCTACCCGCGCTTCGCCGAATGGTGGCCAAAATATTTGGCCATTGCCTCATCGATACATTTTCATGAAAAATGCCCCATTGTTGAAACTTTGCATTCAGTAAATCCATAAGCGGTCGTAGTTTAGACATTTTATCAATTTTGTTGAGTTGAGTATTCTCTGCCAAATGTATTTATTCAGACCTTCATCCAAATTCCAATAGATCATTTCACGGGGTAATTTATGGTACCCAGTAAAAAGAAGAATTCCAACAAAAATTTTGATTTCATCTTGTGTAATTATAAAATGATGATTATTGGAGACTGTTGCGTACAGATTGGTTTGCTCTACAATATGATTTACAACTTCATCATCA